ATTGCCCATAGGGAAGCCATTTTAAATCGCTGTCTTGAGAAGCATCGGTCAGAAAACACCTTGGGGAAGCCATTTTGCGTAGCCTCTGAGCAGCTGTTAGAATCATCCAACAACCTAGGTCACAGCGAAAAGCAGCTGCCACCACTGCAAGGGGGACTAAGCAGGAGAAACTGGGGACTGCACTAACGAAAAAACTACCAACGAAAAGCCGCTGCCGCCGCAGCAGACAGGCAAGGGAAACCCAAAGCTAATAAGTAAAGAGCAGCAGACAGGCGGGGGGGTTGGTTGTAATGAAATGAGCAGAGCAGAGTAGCCAATAGGCAGTGGGAGAGGCAAAGCAGGTCCCCCCAAGCAAAGGAAAAGACCCCCAGTAACTCAGGAGCCACCCAGCAGCGTTAAACTACCGTGCGGCTTTCCTCCCTTGCCACCTGCAATTTAAAGAGAAGCCCGGAGTGAAATTATGCCCCCAAATCTAAAGCCTATGAAGTTGAGGTGGCACGCTTCTCCCCGATGCAGAAAACAGCCTCGATATGCCCACAAATCAGAATAACTTAGCCCAGGGAGGAAGCCATTGTCCCTCCGCTCCTGTAAGTCAATGCTCCACCGCCCAACCTCTGTTGCCACATTTGTTTTTCTGCAAAACACCACTTGCTCACGAGTAGGCACAGCAGTGCTCCACACAGCAACACTCTTTCCTGCTAAGCTGCCTGAAAAGAAGAGGGTGTTCTGGAAATGAAAGCCTCTTTTAAAAAAAAGTGTCTAGTGAAGCACGGACCGAAATGTCATATAGCGAAATTCCCCTGTAGGAAACACTGTTTTGCGAAGCGCAATGGCGGTCGCAAAACCTCGTCGTCATGGGGATTCGTCATTTTGCAGGGTTAATCATCTTGCGAGGTACCACAGTAGTTAGAAATAGCATAAAGGTAAAGGTTCCCCTTGACATTTTCAGTCCAGTCGTGTTCGACTTTATGGGGCGGTGCTCATCCCATTTTCAAGCCGAAGAGCTAGCGCTTGTCCAAAGATAGTTTCCGTGGTCACGTGGCCAGCATGACTAGGGAATACCGTTTTACCTTCCCACCAAGGTGGTACCTATTTATCTACTTGCATTTGCATGCTTTCGAACTGCTAGGTTGGCGAGGAGCTGGGACAAAGCGACGGGAGCTCACTCCGTTGCATGGATTCGATCTTACGACTGCTGGTCTTCTGACCCTGCAGCACAAGCTTCTGCGGTTTAGCCCACAGGGCCACCATGTCCCTCTAGAAATAGCATAAGGAGGAATTAAATAATTGAAAGGCTTTGAGAGTTCATGAAAGATTATCAAGTTAAGATTTCAATAAAACACACACACACACACTGTATAGTTAGTACTCTAAGAATTGATAAACACAGGCAATACCAAAAACACATTCGGATCAGTAAGAAACAACAATCTGGTTTATAAACTGCATTCAGGCAGCCAGTCACCGAGGAAATGTTTGCCTGAAGAAAAAGGACTTTCTTGCTGAAGAACAGCCAAGATGGGGCTAGCTTGGTTTCCTCTGGGAAGGAGTTCCAAAGCTTGAGAGCAGCAACAGAAAAGGCCTTCTCCCATGTTCCCACTCCCATGAATCACAGCTGTGAAGGTGGTGGGACCAAGGAATGTAGAGTACAGTGGTGCCTCGCTTAACGAGCGCACTGTTTAACGATGAATCCGCATAGCGATCTATTTTTTAGATCGCTAATGCAATCGCATTGCGATGTTCTGAATAGGCAAAACATCGCATTGCGATGATCGGTAAGCGTTTCGCTTACCGATCTTTGCATTGTGATGTTTTTTAAACAGCTGATCGGCGGTTCTAAAATGGCTGCTGGGTGCCCAAAATGGCCACTGCAAGTATTTTCGCGCCCTGCCCTCGCTTACCGAGGGTGCGAAAATTGTGGTGCTATGGAGGAACTTCGCTGAACTGTGAGTTTGGGAGCCATAGGAACGCATTAAACTTTGTTTAATGCGTTCCTATGGCTTTTTCCGTTCCGTTTAGCGATGTTTCTGCATAGCGACGATTAAAACGGAACGGATTAATGTTGCTATGCAGGGCAGCACTGTACTGTATATTACAGTAATCCAGTCAGAATATAATTAAGGCATGTATCACTGGTGTCAGATCAGACCTCTCCAGGAACAGATGCAGTTGGCATGCTACTTTTAACTGAGCAAATTAATACTGTATATACCTTAGATACTATATCTCAGTTCAATAAACTAATTTGATTGAACATGGAAACACAGAAATTACATCTGCATCTGGCAAATATTCCCTTCATACAAGAGAATGGTGATGTTCCAACTATTATCGCCTGGTTCCTCCTTGGCCACATTCCTTAGCTGGCCATCTGCTAGATCAAAGGTGAAGGGGGTGAAGGGAAAAGTAACTAAAGAACAATCCTATACTATCTGTGAATGTTTCTCTGCTAAGGGTTATACTAAAATCTAATTTAATTATGCTCCTGTATCAATTGGACAGTTAGAGAATTAGTCTCCAATCTAAGAATGGTGAGGTTGATTTTTGCTTGGCCTATGCATTAAACTGAACTGAACTGATTATTGCTAAGAAGAGAGTTCATGAAAGATTATCAAGTTAAGATTTCAATAAAACACACACACACACACTGTATAGTTAGTACTCTAAGAATTGATAAACACAGGCAATACCAAAAACACATTCGGATCAGTAAGAAACAACAATCTGGTTTATAAACTGCATTCAGGCAGCCAGTCACCGAGGAAATGTTTGCCTGAAGAAAAAGGACTTTGCCTTCTTGCTGAAGAACAGCCAAGATGGGGCTAGCTTGGTTTCCTCTGGGAAGGAGTTCCAAAGCTTGAGAGCAGCAACAGAGAAGGCCTTCTCCCATGTTCCCATGAATCACAGCTGTGAAGGTGGTGGGACCAAGGAATGTAGAGTACAGTGGTGCCTCGCTTAACGAGCGCACTGTTTAACGATGAATCCGCATAGCGATCTATTTTTTAGATCGCTAATGCAATCGCATTGCGATGTTCTGAATAGGCAAAACATCGCATTGCGATGATCGGTAAGCGTTTCGCTTACCGATCTTTGCATTGTGATGTTTTTTAAACAGCTGATCGGCGGTTCTAAAATGGCTGCTGGGTGCCCAAAATGGCCACTGCAAGTATTTTCGCGCCCTGCCCTCGCTTACCGAGGGTGCGAAAATTGTGGTGCTATGGAGGAACTTCGCTGAACTGTGAGTTTGGGAGCCATAGGAACGCATTAAACTTCGTTTAACGCGTTCCTATGGCTTTTTCCGTTCCGTTTAGCGATGTTTCTGCATAGCGAAGATTAAATCGGAACGGATTAATGTCGCTATGCGGGGCACCACTGTACTGTATGTTACAGTAATCCAGTCAGAATATAATTAAGGCATGTATCACTGGTGTCAGATCAGACCTCTCCAGGAACAGATGCAGTTGGCATGCTACTTTTAACTGTGCAAATTAATATATATCTTAGATACTATATCTCAGTTCAATAAACTAATTTGATTGAACATGGAAACACAGAAATTACATCTGCATCTGGCAAATATTCCCTTCATACAAGAGAATGGTGATGTTCCAACTATTATCGCCTGGTTCCTCCTTGGCCACATTCCTTAGCTGGCCATCTGCTAGATCAAAGGTGAAGGGGGTGAAGGGAAAAGTAACTAAAGAACAATCCTATACTATCTGTGAATGTTTCTCTGCTAAGGGTTATACTAAAATCTAATTTAATTATGCTCCTGTATCAATTGGACAGTTAGAGAATTAGTCTCCAATCTAAGAATGGTGAGGTTGATTTTTGCTTGGCCTATGCATTAAACTGAACTGAACTGATTATTGCTAAGAATTCCGAAACAGCTTATAATATTTTCTTAAGTGATTGGTATAGGGAAATTCTGAGCTATAGCAATCCATGATAAACTCACATATAATATTATAATATTATAATATAATAAGTAACTGGCAGATGTGTTTATAGGTGTATGGGGAGAATTTACCGATTTTGTATATGAAAAGGAGAAGGGACAAAGCCCACTACAAGAATTCATATAATTCCATAAGGGAAATAGGGCTCCATAAGAATAAATGTTACAGACAGTCACTCCCAAATGGTGTGGAGCACTATCTATGTAGATAATGTTTTGCTTTTTATTAGATATCTAATGTTTATTAGATGTTTTATTTCCTTTGTATTTGTCTTTTTAGTTTAATAAGTTTGAAAAAAATGTAGTAGAAACCTTTCTGTTTTATTTGATTCCAGAATCTTTTGGCTGAGAAAGTGGAACAACTTATGGAGTGGAGTTCCAGGCGCTCAGTCATCCGCATGAATGGAGATAAATTTAGAAGATTTGTAAAGGCCCCACCTCGAAACTATTCAGTGATTGTGATGTTTACAGCTCTCCAGCCACAGCGGCAATGCTCTGTTTGCAGGTAAATTTACCTTCAGAAGCAGGTCTTAATTCAAAATATTGAACTTTATTTTTTTATTTCCAGAAGGAGATCTTTCCCAGCTATACAATTAATCCCCAAATTTCATCCTGTCTTTTTAATGGCCCTCCTAATATCTTTCCTTTCCTTTTTATTTTTGGGATACAAGTTACATAGTCATTCATAAACTGAGAACGGAAGCAGCTGAGAATTACTTAAACTTGAGTTTTTCTGGTTAATATATTTTTTAAAACACCACCACTGTTCTGTTTTACATAGATTGTTTGATATGTTTTTGCTCAGTTCTTTGGCACAACTTGCAACCGCTTACAGGGCTTTCATAATGCATTTCCATGGGTTGTACTTGGTCAGTGCTATAGAATATGTTGCCCATTTCTATAGAAAAAGTTGTCTATTACAAATTAAGAAATTGCTCTCTTAATTTCTAATGGTATACACTGACTCTTACCCTTTTGTAGCAGATATAAAACTAAAGTTGCCTGTGTTACTTAAATCATGACCCAATACTTGGTTATATAGGTAGATCCTACATTCTAGGGCTTTTCCATGAGCTTATGAATTTGAATCCTGTGGTTCCTTAGTACTGTTATGTTCACTTAAGCTCATCTTTTCCTTCAGGGAAAGTCTCAGTAGACTGTGGTAGTGGTAGTAATAGTAGTACAGTAACTTTGAGAACAACAGTTTGGCATGATAGAATTGACATGGAAAACAATGTAGTTTACTGATTGTTGGTAATAATGTGTTCATCCTCAGGAGGTTGCAGTTCAAAAATAATTGGAACAGCACTAAATTGTTGCTGTTATTATAACATGAGACAACTAGTGACACGTTTTCGTTATGTCGGTTTGTAAATCTTTTGTTACTGGGTTTTAATGCTCTACAAAAATTATAATTTAATAAGAGCATACCATTTACTGCAGTGAAAAAAAAGCACTTAAGGTTCATCCTGCTAAATGCCATAGACCCTGAACACGTCCCATTAATTTCAAAGAAATTCATTTCTAAGTAAATATTAGGACCGCAGGCATAGTTATTTCAGCAGAATGCAGCTGGACATCTAAAATAAGAAACAATTAACTCATTGCTCCTAGTTCAAAACGTTTAAAATAAATGTGAAATTGAGATTTGCCTTTGCTGTAGGGTACAGTATGAATTAAATGAAGTTGAGGATACTGCACCTGAAAAATAATAACAGAAAACTGGGTGCATGAAAATAAGCATGTATTTAAAATTTGATAGTTACAAGCATATACAGAAGGTGTCTGCTTCTTGCCATATTGATTGAATATTGAATTTGCTAGAAATGACCCGATATGTCACTGGTTCTTATATCTTAAATTTAGTTCTCCCAGTTATCCAGGACTTTTTGAAGTAATACCATAGTGCAATATTTCTCATTTCAACTTTATTTTTGAAGTGAG